CTTTTTTTATCAACTGCGTCGTAGTTACGCGCAGAGCTCATTCTGCATCGCAGTAATCGTAATGAAAACCTCTTCGATAAGCTACAATTACTGCAACGCAGATAAGCATAAGTGATTTCATCTTTGTTCTAGTTGGTCATGCTCTAGCATCATAACTTAGCTACACAGAAACTGTTTAAAAGTCAGTTTTCATCAGACTTCGGCTCATAATTCATTCAACTATGGTGGAGGGAATATGTATTCCTAGTATAACTCTTTCAATTTCTTTTCAATTTTCTGGATTTGTATTTTGTATTCAGTTTTTGATCTTTTTAAAAAAATTTTCTTTCTTCAGGCTTGTATTTTTATTTTTATTTTTTCGTATTTTAACACTTCTTTGTAATTCACAGAAAGAATGAATAAAGCGAAGATCTCATTAATGTTGACTCTTGTTAACATTGCGATGCAGTTATGGCGTAACTGTAATTCTTCCTTCGTATATATGTGCAACTGTGTTGCAGTTCCATCGTAATCGAACACATGGAATATTATCATCTTCTCTTCTTACATATTCAACTGAAGGGCATATGCTTTAATGAAATAATAAAATATATAAATCTGACATAAACGTGTGTAAGCCTTTTTTTGTAGGTATTCTTATACATAATTATCTAAGGTGCATTCTCTTAAATGAAACTAAAGAGACGATAAAATTAGAGTAAACGACATACATCAACGTTATCAAACTCACATTGTAAAAGTAGGACTTTATCAGGACATTTTTCTTTAAAAAAGTCAGAAAAAAGTTAGAAGATTTTCTTGAAAAACATGAAAGGGTGTGGGTGTTGATTTTGCCTTTACCACAGACGTTCACACCAAAACCAACCGCGTAGCAAAAGAAAAATTTTGAAAAAATGAATTTTCCTTTTTCTTTAAATATACAACGACATAAATAAAATACAGATAGGAAGTGGTGCATTTTCCATAGGCTATACGCCCCCCCCCCCCCCCCAGCTAGTTTTTCTTTTTTTAATTATTTTTTAGTAGGGACTGATGTGAGGATATGAGATCACTAAACCAAACCTTGGAGATTTTTAATTTTGAGGGAAAAATCAATGCTTTAGGACAAGAATCATTTTCAAAAAATATTGACCCTTGGGCTATATTACAATTTTATATCTCATCTATAGTTGCATGAACAATTACCAAAATTGTACTGCATATACAACAGAGGATACTCTAAAAAATAAAAATACAACCACCTTAGACAATTGCTTTTGCAATGAGTACTACCAATCATTAAAGAGTACTCACTGATGCAGTTGTTTTGTAGTGCATCAGAAACATTGTGTAACCTATAACTTCACAACAATTCATTATTAAAAAGTGAAGTTTTTATCATTAATGCAGTTTTATACAGGCTACCAAAATAATTTCAAAAATTTCAAAAAAGATCACGATCCTTAATACAGTGAGTCAAACTTCTGAAAGAAGATAATAGAGCAACAGAACATGCCCAAAAAACAACTAGTATTTCTAGATTTTGAATATTACAAATAGCTTTTTATGCAAAATAAACACGATTTTCGAAATTAGCATTCAAAAATACATCGGAAACTCTAAAAATTGTCAGAAAATACTTCTAGTGAAAATTGTTGCCCTACTTCCCCTCGGCTTTTTATTGGTAAAATTTTAGGCTGTGTCCCCCTAGGGACAAGAATTTTCATTAGTAGTATTTTCTGATATATTTTAGAGTTTTCGATGTATTTTTGAATGCTAATTTCGAAAATCATGGTTATTTTGCATAAAAAGCTATTTGTAATATTCAAAATCTAGAAATACTAGTTGTTTTTTGGGCATGTTCTATGGCTCTATTATCTTCTTGCAGAAGTTTGAATCACTGTACTAAGGATCATGATCTTTTTTGAAATTTTTGAAATTATTTTGGTAGCCTGTATAAAACTGCATTAATGATAAAAACTTCACTTTTTAATAATGAATTGTTGTGAAACTATAGGTTACACAATGTTTCTGATGCACTGCAAAACAACTGCATCAGTTAGTACTCTTTAATGATACGCAGTACTCATTGCAAAAGCAATTGTCTAAGATGATAGTATTTTTATTTTCTACAGTATTCTCTGTTGTATATGCTGTACAATTTTGATAATGGTTCATGTAACTATAGATAAGACTTGAAATCATAATATAGTATAAGAGTCAATATTTTTTGAAAATGATTCCTGTCCTAAAGCATTGATTTTTCCCTCAAAACTAAAAATGTCCAAGGTTTGGTTTAGTGATCTCATATCCTCACATCAATTCCTATTAAAAAATAATTAAAAGAAAAAGAACCTAGCTGGAGGGGGGGGGGCGTATAGCCTATGGAAANCATGTATAAAGTTAGAGATTATTTCTTTTCTGTAAATAAATTAATTCTCGTCGAGATTCAGAACTTACAAAACACTCTATAAGGACGACGAAGAAGTCAATTGCAAAATAAACACTAATTTTTATTGCATGACACTTACTACATGAGGATCTTTATCGCTATCGACTGTAGAATCATATTCTCTTTGAACTAATGTTGTATATGTAGCTGTTTCTTCATTTAATATGTTCTTGTTATTTGTTCTTATACTCATTGATGATCTTGGTGATTGGTCAGATTTACGTTTCATATCTAATTTCAATTGTTTTTGATTAATATCTTATTTATGAGTAATTTTCTAAATAATATTTTGTTCTTGTGATTCAATAATACTGGTGTCAATATCTCATTTTTCTGGTCTGGTTAAAGCAGCCTATCAAAAGTCGTCATTTTTGTATCAAGAACGTAATTTTAAGTTTTTTATGTGGTTGAATAGCCCTTATTGTCTAGTTTCGAAAACAGTACGATTTATCAGATCTCTGATGCTTGTTCACAGTTTTACACGGGAATTACTCATGATGCTGGAAAAAAGGAAAATGCTTTTTATTGTTACCTTTTGAACGCCTTCTAAGGTTGTTCATAGAGGAAAATCTAGCAAAACTGTGTAAATTAATTAGAAATAAGTGCAAACCATTGAACAATTGAAGTCGTACTCTATATTGCTTTTCTACCAGTGTTCATTTAATTATGTGATTGCTGTGACAATGTTTATGTCAAAAGAGGCGCGCTCTTACATAAGTATGCGCTCTCTGTTTCCTTCCTTCTGATCTTTTGTCTATGGTAAGCAGCTGGTATTGTTGGCGTGAGTATGAATGAATAGGGCTGATTTTTGGTGAGTGACATGAATAACCAGGCCCACACCTCAAAATGCTTTTTTTTTATTCTAGCCTCAAATTTTAGTGAATATACAAGTACGTACAATTCTTCATTAGATTCATCATAATATGATAACACATGATAGACAACAATTGATGCGCTTCGTCTAATGTTTTACTAAACAGGAGCATGGATTTTCAATAGCATACTTTGTGTGACGTTTCTCTCAAAAGGAAACTTTTATCTTTTTTCTACGTGTATGTCCGAGATTTTCCAGTCATTTTACGTAATGCTAGGAAGTTTAGAAATGTTTTAAATTGAAGAGAGAATTGCACTCCACAACTTAACAAAGTCGGATTTTTTATTTTTAGCCTAGTTTTTCTGAAGAATGGATTGTTTTTTTTTTGAGCTTTTTTCGAAAAAAAATTGATAAAGAAGAATTTGAAAAATCTGACATTTTGTGCTGATATTTTTATTGTAAGCTTCCTATATTCGAGCTAACATTTTCTGAAATTTTCAGCTAGACGAGTTGTTCTCGGGCAAAAATAGACATTTGGCAAGAGGAGGGCTTCAATTAAATTTTTATATTTCATTTTCTGAAAAACGTTCAAGTTTATTAAGCTCAATTTCAAATAAACCTTTTAATCAATACAATTAACAGTTGCCACTATCTTATAAATAATGATAAATTGGCATGAGCTTAAATTATGGAGCACGATGTTCATCCTTCTGCTGTTGAAAATTATCCGTACGGCGCCCCTTTTTTTTGCGGATTTGGCAACCAGCAGTTGCCGAACCGCGGAGAGGCTATGAGAAATATAACATTTCTCAATCATAGAAAATTTTTATTCTTATCCACAAAAGCTAGAATTCTCTTTTAGCACTCTATTAGAAGCAAGACAGTCTTGCTTCGCAACACTCCTCTCTCAGTGTTGGCTGCTTTGCATCGCTACTGTCAACCGTTCTATCTCTAATGCTGAGTAACGCCTCTAGTTTCTTGCCTTTTCTTTAATTAATTTAATTTAAGCTTCTCGTTGTTATCAAATGATAAAATCGACCAGAGAATGGTTAGATCAATAGGTCTTTCTCAAACTTGATTTCTAATCTTAGTTTAACCGTATTACTAAGGTTAGCTTTTTAAAATAATAATTTTCTTAAATAACATTCTTTTCAGTTATAGCTAAGTCGAGATAAGCTTTGCTATAAATAATAATGGATGTCATCTACAAATTGCAGGCAACTCTGCATACATCGAATATATGTTCCCTAATTAAATCTCACATCTTTTACAATTTTTTAACGAAATATTTCAATTTCTTTGACTGAAATATGTCGATTTTTGTAACTTCTTCGAAAAAAAAAGATTACTTATTTGTTCATAAGAATAATCTCTTTTGTTAAAAACACAAATAAAAATCTAAACGATTGAAGAGATATTTCTAGCAATGTATTTTGAATATTAAAAATTCTTTTAATTCAACCATATTTCTTAAATAAATTTTTAAAAACTTGATTATTTTTGTATGAAATATAATAATGTTTTTAACTTTATTGTCAATGGAAAATTCAAAGTTTCACCATAGAAAAAAGTGCCTTGACTAAAAGAGAAAAAAAATTAGAAAAAAAGCATGTATGCAAAGATATTTAATTGTCTATATCTGAGCATTCATAGTCATACAGAAAGAAAAGAAAAGACAAAAATACACCGATGTAGTTTTTGTCTTTTCAACATACTCACTTCCTCAAGAAATAATATTCTTAAAAGCCTTACAAAATGAACATAGCTTTTCATCATATAAAAAAATTAAACAGTAAATATACCATCATAAAAATTTTCTTTATCGTTTAACGCTGAAAATATCTTGTAGGTCGCATTTTATCTATTGGTTTTCATCGTTTAATTCTCTTCTTCATTATTCTATTATTATTTTTTTTTACTTTTGATCGATCTCAGTTTGAACCTCCTCGATTTATTACATCGATATATAAATATATAAACAGACGATTGAATTCTACCATTCACAAAAATAAACAATCTCAAATAGATAAAATCATTGTTGTATCACATTTTAATGAAAATTTAGATTGGCTTAATTTATTTCTTGGTGACCAAATTACACGCATTGTTTATACACGATCAACTGAACCATTATCACATCCACATAAGATTATAACTAATAAAGGGAGAGAAGCTGTAGCCTATCTTCAATATATTGTTGATCATTATTCAAATTTACCATCATCAATAGTTTTTGTTCATGGACATCGAACATCTTGGCATCAAAAAGATCCATCAGATATTGTTACTGCATTACGAGCATTACAATGGAATAAATATAATTATATGCCATTAACTAGTGAAAAAACTCATTGTACATTTAAACAGAATTCAATCGATCCTCAAATAAAAGTTAATTATGAATTATGGCAAGCTGTTTTACAAAAAGAACTTGGTCCTCCACCAGAAAATGNTTATGGTAAATAGTCGATATCTCAGTCAAATCCCAACTTGGGCCCATATCCTTTTAGGCTTTTTCTAGTCTATGCATCCCCTACTTGTGGGCAAAATTTCAGCTCAAAAGCTTTTTGACACCTCGGGTGGTTCCCTCGTGAGATTAATTCCATGACCATTCTGATATGATTCTCCTATTCATGTAAAGAGAATGAGGAAAAAAGCTTACTTTTGTGGCAACTAGTAGGTCATATGGTCCTCTAAAACTATTTAAAATTTCAAGTTTTTTTAATTTAGTTTTTTTGATTTTATAGCTAAAATACGACTCTCAAAAACCCATTTTTGGGGTCTATCAGACACGTTTAGCGATGATCTTCGAACAAAAATCCAAAAATGAAACTTCAAATATCGATGGAGGAAGATATATCAAAGAGACACAGACTGTTATCAAAGTGTCGATTTTAGCTAAAAAGCCAATAGTACTCATAATAAAAAAAATCCAATACCAGAATCATGTTCAACATAAAAACTAAGCCGATCTATGCATGTTTCGAATTCGTATAAAAACTTCGATTTTTGTCGAGAATTTCGACTGGAATTTTCGTGAGAGGCATGTCAAAAAAAGAGTCATTCTAAACTCTATTTCGATTATCAAAACAAGTTGTAAATCTTCAATATTATCATTAAGCTCATAAGGACAAATGTCTAAATAATAAAAACGAGATTTTCGATGAATTTTCTTTTGATATATCCTTGAGGAGATCTGAAGTAGATTTTTCGATGAAAATAAAAGTTGCAATATGTTTTTGAAATATAATTAGATTGATTCAGTTTTTTTTGTATGTTGAACACGATTCTGGTGTTCGATTTATTTTAATTTTGAGTACTATGAAACGACAAATACTCCAAATAATATTGATTCTTAGGCAAAATCCACGCTTTGATGAGAGTTTGTACTTTTTTGAAATGTCATCTCCCATCAATAACTTGAACTTTTATTGCTATTCAGTCATAAGAACTTAATTAAAAAAAACTTGACATTTATAGTAACGTTGGAGGATCATATGACCTACTAGTTGCAGTACAAAAAAAACTGTTTCCCTCATTCCCTTTATATGAATACAAGTATCATAAAGAGTTTACTATAAAAAAAACTAATAAATTGTCAATGACATTTTTCATACTATTTCTTGACATCGAAAGCTGAAATTTTCATCATATCTAATATATCGAACCAAGGTCTTTAATTTTCCAAAGTTTGAGCTTTCTAACTTAAACTCGTACTCAAAACACATGAATTTGTTTTTACTAAATTTTTGTAATATTTTTAGAACTCAGTCTATCGCCACATTGTGTCTAAGCTTTGTTTTAAAACTTTAACAGAAATGAATTAATATATAGAAATTTTCAGATTTAATGACGAATTAAGTCTTAAATGTCTATCAGTAACGAATATACCAAAGATTTTTTATATTTTGTATTACATCCAAAAGCATGTCAAAAGAACATAAAGTATTGATGTTTCATAATTCATAACATAAATATTTTATAAAATATATAGAGCCAGTAGATAGCGATCAGAAAGCTACATATCTTTTTAGACTTGGATCTTGATGTTTAGCTTTTCTCGAGTGTGGGTCTGATCAACAACAAGGTGAATCTCTGCAGTACCGTATAGGTAACCATCGATCAGTATTAAAATTTTTCTGCGCAAGATTTTTAAAACCAATATGATTGATTGTTTTGAATGGTCGACAATTAATTGCTGCAAATTCAACACAAAAAACTTTTATTTCCTGCTTAACTCGATATGAAATCGCTGTTTCCTTTTTGAAAATGTGTAAAACTGATTGGTACTTGTTTGAGTATCGGAAATTGTCGACTTTCTATTATTTTAACAATTATACACATGTTTAGATAATGAATTAGTATCAGAAGATGATTTATACATAAGTAAATCTTCACATTGATTGCATAGACCACATTCTTACTTGATTTCGTTTCCATATGTTGATTCGGTAATTTTTGTTTATCAATTAGATATTCAGTTTCTTTTTTTGTTTACATAATGTTTTTTACAACTAAGCGAAAACTTTTTATTTATGAAGCATTAAAGTGATGAGAAAGTGAACAACAAAAAATCAATGTACGATAATTTTCTTTCTGAGAATAGCTAATAAACATTTTTATTTCACTTTTTCATACACCCCAGAGGATTTCCGATATTCGTGGAAAAAAATTCGGGTCAGAATCCAAAAAAAAAAAGATGGATTTACAGTTCTCAAATGGTGACACTCTATTGAACAATGTATCAAGCAAGTTGGAAATGCGTGACATGTATTGAAGGAAAGCATTCGTCGAACAGTGTTTGATGCATCGTTAAAATTAGAAAAATTTGTTGCGAAAAGAAATTGAAGGAAATCTTCGAAAGAAAAAACGACGAAATATCTTATGAATGACAACCGAATATAGAAAATAGTGGAGAATACGTTTATACATGTTGAGTTTTATAATAGTTTATATGTCGTAAAACAATTGTCTTATGACATTTGTTTTCATCAGATGTTCGTATATATCTCTATTTAAGAAATTAACATGTTACAATAATCTGGTACGAAAATTAATATTTTTCAATCTTGTCCATACATTTCAGTACTAGTTTAAGCTGAAGAGCTCAACCTTTGGAAAATTAAAGATCTTAGTTCGATATATATGGGATAAAATTTTCTACTTTCAACGTCAAGACAAACATATGAAAAACGTCATTGACAACTTATTATCAGTTATTATCGAAAACACACCTTATCTGATCGACTCCGTCTCACATTACGACTATCATAAAAATTCTTCATGCTAAATTATTTTTATTTCGATTTAATCTTGACAAAAGATATTGTGAGAATTTATAAAATGTTATAGTTATCTGCTTTATCGGATGTTTCCTCTGTCAAAGATAGAATGGAAATTTTCCCTCGATGTTATTGCTTGATGATCTGCGCCATCTATGCAACTTTACTCTGCTCTACTTCAAAAATAAATATCTTTATAATAATCAATCAAGATATATTTTTACAATGATTGACTAATTTTTTAAGCAATAAGAATAATTTAGCAATGTAGTTCGTTCTCTTGTTTGTTAGTTAAACGTAAAGTGTTCATAATAATTAATAAGTCATATAAACTATTTCTTTTTCGAAAATATTTTCTATCATGCATGCTCAATCAGTTTGCTATTTAAGATTATCCATAAGAAAAATATAGATGAAATTTACTTGAAGGAGAAATTAAATATAGACAATTCCCAATATCATCTTTTGAATTATGAAAAATAAAAACATATGATTCCTTTAGATATTTATTTTACGTCGATGCAATATTAAGTATCTGAATAATGCTTTATCAGATACCGCTGTGGACTCTTTGTTTTTTTAAGCATAGTTTTTTTTTTTGAGATAATATATTATTTTTAGTGATGCACTAAAATAAAATCAAATGGTTGTCTTTTTTACAAGAGCGTATAATGCACTGCTTATTTTTTATTTTAGGTATTCTTACGTATTAGATGTTTTTCTTTTTATACATATAGTGATGCATAATTATTATTTTTTCTTTGTATTTTATATGGCCTCTGCCAAGGGAAATTTTTTATTTAACTTTTTAAATTGATACCTTGTGTTAACAACTAAAACAAAAAAATCAATCATCATTTTAATGCTCATTTTTCATAGACACGTATATACCTATATTACAACCGATGAAAAGTGAGCAGGTTATTTATGTTGAAACTTAGTAGTGTAAGATTTTATGTATATACATTTTAATATAGTTTCATGTTTTTGAGAAATAGGCTTGAATATTTTCATGAAAAAAAATACTATCGGAAAATAAGCATTTCTATGATTACTTGCGAAGTAATTCTTCATTTTGTAGTATAGATAGATCGTGTAAATTAGTCTAGTAGACTAAATTTCAACGATAATTTTTTCGATATGTTCTAATATATAGTTATCCTCAAAAAACTTACCGCGTGATTTTTGATATTGTAATTAATTTCTAAAGACCATACACTACTTTTTAAATTTTTTTACTGACAGAAATCAATACAAATAGGCGTATAAAAAAGAAAAAGTCGTTTTTTTTATTTAATAAAATCATACAAAATCATTTCTATTGTAGTGAGTAGAATAAGATGCAATAAAACGTCTCAAAAACCATCGTTTCTTGTTTTCTTTTCCAATATTTGGCCATTTTCTCTTATGTATGCTCTTAAAACACATGCAAAAACTATATTTTGATAAGGTGCCAGTAATGCAAAAGTCGAGTAAAATTTTTTTTTCAATTTTTTTATCATGGTTAGATAGAGCTCGCCGAGCTCTACAAAACTGTCTTTTTCGATTTTTTTAAAANAAACTCAGATTGGCTCGATTTACTTATTGATGATCAAGTTTCATATGTTGTCTATACACAATCAGCTCAGCTATTAGTACATTATCATAAGATTGCAATGAATAAAGGCAGATAAACTGTAGCCTATCTTCAATATATTGTTGACCATTATTCAAATTTACCATCGTCAATAGCTTTTGTTCATGGACATCGAATATCTTGGCATCAAAAAGATTCATCAGATATTGTTACTGCATTACGAGCATTACAATGGAATAAATATAATTATATGCCATTAACTAGTGAAAAAACTCATTGTACATATACATAGATTTCAATCGATCCTCAAATAAAAGTTAATTATGAATTATGGCAAGCTGTTTTACAAAAATAACTTGGTTCTCTACCAGAAAATGAAATAAAAACACATTGTTGTGTAATATTTGTTGTTAAAAGACAAGCTATTCTTGCTAATCAATATTCAGATCAATTAACAAGTAGAACACTTGAATATACTTGACATATGAGTTTTGGTGAACCAGCCCTTACGATATATTTGGTTGTGATTCAAGAGAAATTATTTTTGTTTCATTGACTGACAAAAAAAAAATTCGATAATGAATGTTTGATAGCATAAATGCTTTAAA